CGAGCATGCACCCCTTTAAAAGGAGTAAGAACCCCTCACAGGTAAACCTGTTTGGGGAATTATACCGGCATAGACCCCAGATAGCACTTCAAGAAAAGTTGGACACCATGGCAAGAGCGGGAGACAAGCCTGGGAGACATCCCACTCAAAGCCGGGAAAAGGATGGAAAAGGTAAACAAGACCTAAATCATCTTATAACAGCACCCGCGTCAAAGGTAGGCAAGAAAATGACAAGGCGGCAGCGGCAGCCAAGAGCGAAATCAGGAACAGAGACAAGCTTGAAAAGCGAAGTCATGAAGGGAGACAAGCTGGAGAAACAAAACGGCAGCGGCAGCCAAGAGCGAAGTCATGAAGGGAGACAAGCTTGGTAGACAAGGCGGCAGCGGCAGCCAAAAGCGAAATCATGAAGGGAGACAAGCTTGGGAGACAAGGCGGCAGCGGCAGCCAAGAGCGAAATGAGGAAGGGAGACTAGCTTGGGAGACAAGCCGGCAGCGGCAGCCAAAAGCGCAATCATGAAGGGAGACAAGCTTGGGAGACAAGGCGGCAGCGGCAGCCAAGAGCGAAATGAGGAAGGGAGACTAGCTTGGGAGACAAGCGGCAGCGGCAGCCAAGAGCGAAATCATGAAGGGAGACAAGCTTGGGAAACAAGGCGGCAGCGGCAGCCAAGAGCGAAGTTATAAAGGAAGACAAGCCGGCAGCGGCCACCAAGAGCGAAATCATGAAGGGCGACAAGCTTGGGAGACCAGGCGGCAGAGCGAAAACATGAAGGGAGACAGTCAAGAGCGAAAACATGAAGGGAGACAAGCTTGGGAGACAAGCCGGCAGCGGCAGCCAAAAGCGAAGTCATGAAGGGATACAAGCTGGAGAAACAAGATGGCAGCGGCAGCCAAGTCATGAAGGGAGACAAGCTTGGGAGACAAGCTTGGGAGACAAGCCGGCAGCGGCAGCCAAAAGCGAAATCATGAAGGGAGACAAGGCGGCAGGGGGGCAGCCAAGAGCGAAATCAGGAAGGGAGACTAGCTAAGCTGGCAGCGGCAGCCAAGAGCGAAATCATGAATCAATGAAGGGAGACAAGCTTGGGAAACAAGGTGGCAGCGGCAACCAAGAGCGAAGTTATAAAGGGAGACAAGCTGGCAGCGGCAGCCAAGAGCGAAATCATGAAGGGAGACAAGCTTGGGAGACCAGGCGGCAGCGCCAACCAAGAGCGAAAACATGAAGGGAGACAAGCTTGAGAAACAAAACGGCAGCGGCAGCCAAGAGCGAAATCATGAAGGGAGAGAAGCTTGGGAGACAAGCCGGCAGCGGCAGCCAAAAGCGAAGTCGTGAAGGGAGACAAGCTGGAGAAACAAGATGGCAGCGGCAGCCAAGAGCGAAGTCATGAAGGGAGACAAGCTTGGGAGACAAGCCGGCAGCGGCAGCCAAAAGCGAAATCGTGAAGGGAGACAAGCTTGGGAGACAAGGCGGCAGCGGCAGCCAATTTCCGCAATCCGGAACCCATCCATTGAGAAGCAAGAACCCCTATAGCTTCCAGCTATCTGGAGAAAAAACGGATGCCTGCTTGGGATTGAAAATTGATGGCTTTTTGATGTTTTTGGTGTGCTTTGATGCAAGTGATGTAATCGACGGCGAATGGTGCATCACTAGCATCATGAGGGGCTCAGGAGGCAATGACAACCGTCTTCTACGGGGGTGGGAGTTCATGTGGATGATAGGAAAAAGGTGACACCGGGACGCGAAAAGCGGTTGGAACTCCTCCAGAAAAGGGAGATGCGCGCCTCTAGCGGCAATTGAGATCGTGTTCGACCAAGGGTGAAAGGGAGGCGTGTGTCTCTTGAGATCCAGCAGACCCCACCCACCTCGATAGCTTCTTTTTCTTCTTGCGCGCTTCCTTCTTGACCTAAATACACATTTGTGCGTTCACTTATATATGTCTATATATATCTCTATATATATATATATATATACGCTAGCCCCCCCCAAAACCTATGTTTCTGAGTGCTGGTGTGCAGTTGGTAAGCATATTTGTTCATTTAACTATGTACTACAAAAATGTCCAAATCCATAAGGTTATGTGTTTACTAAACAGTTCTTGGATGGAGTAATCTAATTCATTGCAACCCCAGGCAAAAGCATATGTCTTGTTTTAGGGTGTGAATTGTACTGCTCTTATTGAATGCAGTTGAGCAAGTACATCATAATCAGAAGGCAAAGAATTGCAAACCCTAAATAGTTGAATTACGGTTTAATTCTAAGTAAATTTAAATTCCAACCTATTCAACTCTACTTTACTTTGTATATTCAAATTCAAATTTGAGTCCATGTTAATTATTTGTGACTTCTATTTTGATTCCAATGTCTATCACTATAGATTCTAATTTACTTGGCATTCAATGCAAGCCTAATTCTAATTTGGTTTCAAGCTAATTCTAACTTCATTGCTATACAAGTCAGATTCAATTCTAATAGTGTATTCTTGCTCAATTTAGTTTTAATTTGAGTGAAATTCTCATTTACTTCTAGAGAAGTGGTGTTACTTAGAACATGTGAGATTTTATGTAGTTTTTTCCAATATAGAAGCGTTTGCTTTCTTAAATGAATTAAATTCACCACCAGCAACACCCACGCTCTAGAATGACACCAAAACTGAATTAGAATTCATAGGATTAAATTAGACATATAGAAATAGAAACCAAACCTAATTTGCAATGACAATAGTGTAGAATTAGATGTGTAAAACAATTGAATCTGAACTGTAAAAAGGCATTAACATTAGACAATAATTACCAGTAACTCGGAAGAGTCAAAGTTACAATTGAACCCAAAATAGAATGACATAGAACTAAATTAGAAGTAGACTGGAATTAAATTAGAGTTGAATGAAAAACATTGAATAAGAATCCATTACTTAAATTGAAATTGACTTAGAACTAAGGTAGAATTGAATTAGAGTTGTTTTACCTAGAGCTTGGTTAGTAGAACAGTATTGACCTAGGATTAAGTTAATTGGAATCTAAGTTCAATTAGAATTGAACTAGATCTAATTTGCAATCTCAATTTGATTTCAACTATATAAAGTTCAATTAGGATCATCTTCTATTTAAGCAGAAGCACGTTGCAGATTCAATTATTCAAGTTTGAATTCCATTAGGTCTAAAATAGCCAAACATAATTAGAATTATAATGGAAATGAGTAAATTAGAATAAACACTGAATTAGAATTTGTCTATACAATGAAGTTAAGCTAAATAGACTTAAATGAGTTCAATTAGGCTCAACTTAGGCTTAAAGTAGAAAATTTAAATAGAAATACAAGTGGTTTTAAATTGTAATAAGAATTGACTTAGAATTTAGTTAAACTGTATGTGCACTAAAATTCATGGAAGTAAAATTAGAGTTGAGTTAGTTGTTAATTAGAATTGAATGAGGAACAAAATGTCGGTAATCAGTAATATTCCAGGATCAAAATGTACTTAGTGCAATTTTGTCACTACCAGAGAATGCCAGAGAATGCGTTCCTTCCCAAAACCAAGATCCAAGATTTGCACAGAAGTCTTGTGGAAAATCTTGGATTTGGGAACATCCTGCCCAATACCAAGATCCAAGATCCAAGATTTGCACAGAAGTCTTGTGGAAAATCTTGGATTTGGGAACATCCTGCCCAAAACCAAGATCCAAGATTTTAGCCCGGAGTCTTGTGGGAATCTTGGATCTTGGATCTTGGTATTTCCAACATTTTAGCCAGGAGTCTTGTGGGAATCTTGGATCTTGGATCTTGGTATTTCCAAGATTTTAGCCAGGAGTCTTGTGGGAATCTTGGCTCTTGGA